ATTATTGAAATTGGTGTCACCGAATATAAAATATGAAAATATTTTTTCAGTTTGTACACTGTACTTGTGTATCGGTCATCTATTTTTGGATATCCAGTTATATAAAGCGAGGGTGTCATCACCTGTCTGCCGCAGGCGCAAGTGACGACTCCCTGTTTTAATTTAACGATAACTGCAGCCTCAACAAGCTAAATAAAACCGCAATTGAAACAGCTGACCATATCAATACACCGAATAACAAGCATATGACGTGGTAAGTGTGTTGACCTAGTTCGTTGTTCAATTAAAATAGGATCCGTACTGCGCATGGCTGCTTACATTAAAAATGTTTAGGGGGGTCTGAACTGATGGATTTTTATTTTCTAATTTTTTTCCGGTACCCCCAGATGTAGAATGAATTCCACTGTAATTTTTGAGAGAAAAAAATATTTTTGTTCATTTATAAAATGCAACTAGACCCACTGGAAGAGAAATGAATTTCTCTATGGTGATGAAACAATGAATCATTAAAGTACCTTCTGTTAATAGGTTGTCTGGAATATGATAGTGAAAACAAGCGAAAACTCCTTAGCAATCCTTGATGCTCGTGAAACCCCCCAAAATAATACGGAAAGTGATGAATCCAGTGATGATTCAGATGATATTGAGATGGAGTCTTATCACCATCAGGATGACGTTTAGCCAGTTTAAAAATATTTAAATTACCAAAAAACTAACTACTTGTTTACCTTTAAAAATTACCAAAGCTGTGTGCATTAAAAAATAAAATTGACTGTTCACATACTACTTTAATGTTTTTGAATTGATTTTTTTTACTCAGGTGTCTGTGACGAACACAGTATATCACTTAAAGTATGTGACAAGTATTGACAAGTATTGTTGTACCCATTGTAAAATGTGAACATTTAAATCCAACCCATGTAGGCCATGTATTGTTTGTTAGTTTCTGCAGTTTGTTGTTGATACTAACATTGTTTTAAGTACGTGGATAAGGATTTCCTTTGTATTTTTTTCTGTCCTCTGATATTAAAGGAACTTTCAAACAGTACAGTTTATTTCAAGTCCCCCCCCCCGTCAGCAACTGATCTCTCCAGACTCCCCCTAAGTATTTTTAATGTATGCGGCCTAATTTCGGATTGGATGAATTTCTTTAAACAAAAAAAAAACATGTTACAAAGATTTAAACATTCAATTGTTAATTCCAGTTGAAAAAATACATATATGTAATAGAATTTAGGCCAGAAAAACATGTTCTCCAGCTTAAACTCCTAAGATGATATAAACAAAACAAACAGATTTATCAGGCTTTCTGCCTTCAATGTTTTCAGAAAAAAAAATAATCAGTTTTGTAGTGTCTATTCGAGAATTTCCCAAACCAATAGGTCACCTGTATATATCAATAAACAAAAAAACTTTACTTACGAGTCTAACAGTTAATGTGGGTGAAGTACGCCCTCACACATCGCTTTTCAGGTATCTCAACTATCAAATTGTGAAAATATTCTTTCTGTTAAATTAGCTAACTCTTAATATATTAGCGACATTATAGATTAGCTAAATTAGCTAAGATAACGTGTTAGCTAAAAAGACATGGTGCAACTGGGTAGATTGGGTTTTCATTTAATTATACTTCATTTATGATGTCGCAGTAAATTTATCCATCTGCTACATTAAAGGTAGATATGACAATGCTGTGTGTAAAAAAAAACAAATCTTGCAACAATGTTGCCCAGCATGGCCCACTTTTATGTATAGGGCGTTGGTTCTTTGAATTTAAAATGTTATGAAATTAAAAATAACGAAACTGCAAAACCATTGCAATTTCGAATTAAAACAACACCTGAAAAAACGGTGAATACCACTTTCTTTCCTGGTAACGAATGCGAATTACTCGTAGTATTTTATTAAAGCGGGAGAGTCGTCACCTGCACACGCGCGGGAATTGAGTCCCAAGCGCCGATAACAACACACGCTATAAACGCAAAGGCTCATGGGTAGACGCTTGTTTGTAAACAATGACACGCTATGACCATCTGACGCGTGCGCAGGTGACTACTCCCCCGCTTTAATATACTCGTGTAGTATATCTAGCTAATGGATAATTTGAATTTATATTGTATGATTTAAGGACAGGTTAAAATCGAACATGACTGAAATTCAGTAGCCTAAGGGGTCGTCACATTTCGGGGTTTATATTAAACTGATTGTTCCAATCTTTTGTCAGTGACAAACTCGTCCCACTGCGTTGAACGGGAAGACAATTACACACTAAATATCACAATCAAGTGAATCAGAGCGCCATGGAAGTCAATGTGCCACATATTGCGAATTTCAATCCAAGTAGTATTATGGCAGTCGAAAAAATCGACCGAGAGAAATCAGTCCGATTAGAGTGGAACGATGGATGTGAATCGAAATACCCGTATATTTGGCTTCGTGAAAACTGTCGTTGCTCGTCGTGTTACCACGGGGCGTCTAAAATGCGTCTAATACCAATTGCAAATTTGGCCATTGATGTACTACCGGAGAAAGTGTGGCAAGACGATAACATTAACGGTCAAGGCATTTCCATATCGTGGTCCGACGGTCATCATAGCCACTACTCTTCGACATGGTTGCGGCAGTTTCAGTTCAGTGACGAACCTCAAAAGAAACGTCTTAAGTTGTGGGGATCAGATTTACAGGGAAACATACCCAGTTATAAATTTGGAGATATATTAGAAAGTGACGCGATATTGCTTGAATGGTTGGAGTCGTTGAGAGATGTTGGATTAGTTCTCACTAAAAACGTGCCAACAGTGCCAGGGCAATTGAGCAGACTGTCCAAGCGGGTGGCGCCGATACGTATGACAAATTATGGGTACGTATATACTATAGTATAGAACAGG